TTCCTTGTATCTTTGCTGTCATTCATTTCGCTTATACTTAAGTGAAATTCAATGTATTGAATTCCTTTGAACAAATTTTTCTTAGCTCAATTAAGAATAAGAAAAAAGATTTTTATTTTACCTTCACTTATTCCTTCCCCAGTGCTTTTTCTTTATTTATGTAGATCCAAGTTTCCAGCCTTTATAACTTTCCTGCTCTTTAAGGAACTTTTTAAAAACAATTATTACATGACAGGTCTACTGGCAACAAATTCTTTCAATTTTTGTTTGTTGGAGAAAGTCTTTATTTTGCCCTCACGTTTTGAAGGAAAATTTTGCAGGATACTAAATTCTGAGGGTTTTTTTTCTCTTAATGGCTTAAATATTTTACTCCACTTTCTTCTTGCTTGCATGGTCTCTGAGGAAAAATCAGATGTAATTCTTATCTTTGCTCTTCTATAGGTAAGATATTTTTCCCTCTGGCTGCGTTCATAATTTTTTTTTATCTTTGATTTTCTGGGATTTAAATATGATATGATTAGATGTAAATATGATATGATTTTTTGTTTTTGCATTTATCCTGCCTGGTGTTCTCTGAAGTTCCTGGATCTGTGCTTTGGTGTCTGACATTAATTTGGGAAAGTCCTTAGTCATTATCTATGTTAGTAAATATTCTATAACCCAAAACTTGTTTTGATGACTATTTAGATCCTTTACCTGTTCCTTTTAAGGCTATTCAGAATGTTTTAAGCACAAACAAGTACAAATCCTTCTCATTTGAAAACATGATTATAACTTCTCTCCATCACTTTTAGTTCTTCTTATTTGCAATAAACACCAGAGGGGGCTTATATCTTACTTTTAGTAAATGATCCCACTCACACCATGTCACTCATGAGGTCCTTTCGTTAGTCTCAGTGAACATTTTCAAGCATAGCCAACTTGCTCTTACAGGTACTTGCTAGACAAGCCCAGTAGGTAGATCCTCTTCCATCTGCTAATTAGAGAGGTAGAAGACTCATATCATTGCCAAAGAACAGCTCAGATATTTAGTTAGGTATCTGTATATAAGTTCTTTCACACATGAGGGAGATTGTCATTGCACCATTGTCAATAAACAAAGATAAAACCAGGATTTATAGAAGGGATGGGAAGGGAGGAAAATTTAGTTTAAGGAAAGTAAGGGTTTTTCTTGATTAAGCTGATTAGCTGGAGGGCATCAAAGAGACCAGTTTGGGAAGGCCAATATTGAGTAGGCTGGCTGGGGCATCAGGGAAAACAATTCCAGATATTTGTGAAATTTCTAGAAAAACCTTTGGAATTTGGCTGTGAAGTATGCATGACAAGCTGTCCAATGTCTGCCAGTGTACCATTAACATCACCAAGTAAGCCAGGTTTGTACCGCTAATTTCTCTCATCAGAATTTCTCATTTCCCCAATTTGGTCAAAATTAGCTCTTAAAGGAATGGATTCAGACATGAGGATTTCATTTTCCTTTGAGACTATATCATCAGTTGACTTGGGATAATGGCCATATAAAATTTAATCATTCAAATATTTAACAGTGGAAGAAGGTAACAAGTATGAGAACAATCATAAATCCTTAACAAACATTTGGCACCCTGTTTTTATTCAGGTTTTATTTATGCACTTATGCATTTATGTGTAAGTATGGGAAGGTCATTTGATTACATAATAGTAGTTTAGAATGTGCATATTGAGAAACTAGGAGAAGTTGTTTATGGTAAACATAATGAATTTCTGTCCAAATTCAGTTGGCCTAATTATGGAAAACAAATACCCTGGGTGTATCTAGACAAATCATAAAACATAATCATATAAAAAAATAATTAGACCACTGCTTGCATCATGTTCCTGTCTTTCTTTATGTTCCTTGGGTTTATTTAGAGGCTTTAGCATGCTAATAAAAAAAAAGTTAACCCCTGTATGTTAAAGATTTTTTTCCTGTCTGTTTTAAGGATCCCCTAAGATATTGTCCCTTATTAATGTTAAAAGTTCCTACAGAGATCTACTGTGTATTTTTATCATCCTTGGTATAGGAATTCCATTTTTTGAATATTGACAACTAATGGGTAAACATGAAAAAAAATCTAGAGGTTTAGAGGGAGGAAGAAGGCTCTAATCCCTACAATTACAGGCACCTATATCAGTGCACAAGGATAGCAAATATACACATTGCATCCTATCTCTGATCAGAAGCATATGATATTAACATATCAAACTTACAGTTATAATTTCCAGAAAATACCGAGATTGTCATGACAAACAAAAGCAAACAAACAAGACTAATAAACTTCTTTTCTCTGTTATCTACCACCTGCCACAGAATAGCTTGTAAGAGCTGAAAAGCTCAATCACCATCTGTACCGCTCACCAGACAAGCCAGGACTTAAAGGTGAGCATGGGCTGTAAATGGGGACAAGGTGCACCTTCAGGGTGTATACTTCTCTTGGTTCTGATGGTAGGACTCAGGTGAGAAAATCTTGGTAAAATTCTCTGGATTGTTGTGGAGATCTTTGTTGTCGGTAGTGTTCCCTGCTTTCTATTTTCTTGGTAGATTTCATTCAGCCCTTCTGCCTGCTGCTTCCCTTGGCCATCCCAAGAATTATTAGGGCTTCCTTACTCTCTGTGAAAATGGAATTGCATTAGCATGGTTTCTGTCAGCTCTTTTTGGTCTTCCATAGGCAAAAGCTTGAAGTGTCTAGTGGTCTTCTCTCAGCTCTCCCAACTGCTCCCTCTCATTTTGTAGTACTGATCTCAGCAGGTGGTAAAGACCAGCGTGACAAAGAATTGGGAGTAATGTAGTCTGATTGTTTCTCAGACTCCTCGAGATTCTAATCTATTATGCCAGCTCCACGCATGGCCTGAAAAAGTTTGTTAGAAGTTAAGCTAAAATGAAATATTACTCAGCCATAAAAAAAGAATGAAATTTTGCCATCTGCAACAACATGGATGGAACTAGAGGGTGTTGTGCTGAGTGGAATAAGTCAGACAAAGAAAGAGAAATGCCATATGATTTCATTCACATGTGGAATCTAAAGAACACGATAAACAAAATAGAAGCAAACTCACAGATACTGGCAACCATTTTGATGGTTGCCAGATGGAAGGGGTTTAGGGGGTAGGTGAAAAAGGGAAAGGGATTGAGAATACAAATTGGTATTTTGAAATAGTTATGAGGATGTAAAGTGTAGCATAAGGAATATAATCAATAATATTGTAATAACTGTGTACGGTGTCAGATGGGTACTAGATTTATCGGGGTGATCCCTTTGTTGATTATATAAATGTCTAATAACTATGTTGAATACCTGAAACTAATACAAGATCGTATGCCAATCGTAATTTAAAAATAAAAAATTATTTTTTAAAAATTGAACAGTTCTTAGTGAAAGACTGTTCATGCTGACTAGTCTTTTTACACTTTATAGTTAAAAATGTGAAAACCAGGGTCACACAAAAACGAGGGTCAGCTAGGTTTTGCCCACAGGTGAAACCAACCCCTGGTTTTGTGCCTTTAGGGTTCTCTGTGTCTTCACTAATGGATTTTTAAAAATCTATAATTATGTCATCTTTTCAGCTTCTTTTGTTGGTGTGGTCAGAGATCTGTACTGTACCAAAACCAGTACACTGATATCACACTTTTTCTGACCCTGGGTCGATCTCATCCCAAGGCCTAAATCATTTTAATAATAACCTCTCATAAGAGGTTAACTGAATGAATGTCCTAATAAAATTTATACATCTTTCAGATGCTACTAATGCAGCACATATCCACTGGTACTAGTGGTAAATATTCTTATTATTTGTGAATTTAAGGTAACCAAAGTATAGTTAACCTTAGGCCAGGCATTAAAGTATACATTAGAAAATATTTGTATGTATATATTAAAATATACATTACTTTCTTGTTAATTTATCTCTGTAGATATAGTCCATATATGCCCACAGAACAAAGAGGTGGGTTTTTTCTGTGTTGACAACCAAAATGGTTCCACATGATCTCCTAAATGATAGTGTTTGCTCTTTAATATGTTGACAAGCATGTCTGGCTGCTATTAATTTAGGGTGCCCTGATTTTAAAAGAACATTTGCTTTACTAGGTGAAGGGGTTACTGAGGAGTTGTTGTCTAATGGATATAGAGTTTTAGTTTTGCAAGATGACAAAGTTCTGGGGATTGGTTGCACAACAATGTGAATACACTTAGCACTACTGAACTGTACACTTAGAAATGGTTAGGATGATAAATTTTATAATATGTGTTTTTTTTACCATAACACACAAAAATTTGCTTTAAAAATATTATTACATAAATAACACCTGATAATTATGGAAAAATCCGAAAATACAGACAAGTAAAAAGGAAAATAAAAATTACCCACAATCCTACAGCTAACATTTTGTTACATAAATGCCTAAATTATATATGTGTAGGTTCACATTAAATATACTATTTTATAACCTGGGTTTTTCAAAGTTTACACTATTTTTAATCACATTTTAAGTTCTATGTTCTTAATTAAAAATGCGGAGGAGTAGGATATTTCACATTTCTGTGAACTGTAAGGCCTTAAACAGCAGTGAAATGTCACATTTAGGGGTGCCTGCCGCTGCACTAATGCTTCTTTCTTTAGGTCGTGGGTCCCCAGAAGGAAAGGCTCCTCCGTTCAGCTGTCTGTCAGCTCTGCTGACATCTTTCAGTGGTTCCTTTTATGCTTACACTTACAAAGGCTTCTGATATTTGTGAAAACTAATGAGTCTACTTGTCTCTAGGTTTTCTTAGTCACATGTATATGCACGAGAATCACCTAAACATACTTTCAAGCAAGGTTAACGATTAAATGGTTGGGATGAAAGGTCAGGATACCCGCCTTTAGTTGGAACATCAGAATGGGAGACAACTCATTGCTAATGCTACTTACCTTCCACCTTCACTGAGGAAAAGAGTAAATAAAAACAGTCATACGAGAGTCTTCTTTCCAGAAGCGCTCCAGGCATCATGGAGAAGTTCTGCAACTCCACTTTTTGGGTGAGAAATGATACTTATTCTGTTCTCAAACTCAGAACAAGTAGTATATTAGCCTAGAGTGGCCACCAGTAAGAACCAGAAAAGTTAGATGTGTAGTTGGTTGAAAGCTCAGGGTGTTTTGTTTTGCTTTGCTTTGCTTGTTTTAGAAAATCATATCTTCAGAGGATATTCTATGTAGGAGAGTAATATATTTTTTTTATAACACGTTTATCGTATCTCAGACTCCTTTCTTGAACAAGCTAGGTACAAAATTGTCTCTCTAAGGAGAAATAGAAAAAAAGCCTTCCAATTTCATTAATGTTAGGAGAGGGAATTTCAGTTTGTGGGGTGAGAGGAAGAAGCAAAGGTCTGCGATTGAGTCTTGTTGAGACATGTTGATGTTGAAATGATAATGCTATGTTCTAGAGGAACTGGCAGTTAATGATATGGACTGGAAGTTGAGGCCAGGGATACAAATCTGGGCATCTGAGCACTGAGACAGTGGTCCACTGAGCAGCGAATTTCAAGATAAACAGGGTGAGCAACAAATGGAATAGAGAATGAGAAGGGACCTTGGATTTAGTGTTTTTGAGAAAACGTGATCTGCAAATTCCTAGCATCCTTATTGGAATCATCCAGAGCAATTGTTAAAATAGTTTAACTCTCTTAGATAAGTCTTTTTAATTCTAACGTTAGATAACTTTATGGAGAGATAAGAAGAGCAAGCATGAGGTAGCAGAGCACGTGGGCAGCATTTCCCGACTTAGGAAGAATCTGGGCCCAGGGCCCTAAAGGATAGGACAAGTATAGCCCAGGAAGGTGGGGCTTAATAGGCCAACTTTGAGAATTCTCTCCGAGGATTACCTAACAGATCATCTCAATCAGGCACTTCAACCTCTTCTTTAAAGAATCTGTGCAAACAGTCCTACAAAACAATAGAAAAATATTTATGGGGAGAGAAAATTCTACTCTCATGTGACTCAGATATAAGAACTGATACCCTCCACCCTCATCTTACAAGGACACTTTTGGTTATTGCAGAGTGTAAAGACTAGTACAGATAAGCCTTCCGCCTGACAGTGTCATTGCTGCTCCCGGGCTGAAGGCCCGCTCAGGTTCCAGCATAAGCCCTCGGGCTATAGGAGTCTAAATATCATAGTATGATTAAGCATTCTGCCTGCCTGCTGCCTGCATGTTTGTTTGAATGTCTGCCAATGCGTCCAACAAGTGCTAAAAACTAGGATAAGAAGTTTTTATATCCCAGGGAACTATTCTCTCCTTCAGATTGGAGAACAATCCCTCTTTTCTCCACAACTTGACAAATACAGTGATGAAGTTTACTCAGATTAACTGGTGGATAAACTCTCTTAAAATCACAGGAAGAAAAACCTTTAGAGGTTGGGTTGGCCAGAAAAGTCATTAAATGTCATGAAATGGCGAATTTATATGAATGGAGATGAATAGGAAAATACAGCTAGTTAAAGGATCAGGATGAATGTGGATATAGAACTGAGTTAAATTTTTGGAAACAGGGTTTGGGGTGGAGGGTGTGAGCTAGGGCTGGGCTTCTGTCTTCAAAAATGCATGTAGCCAACAATCTTTGCATTTTTGGTCCCCCAGAACTCCTCATTGCTGGATAGCCCGGAGGCAGACCTGCCACTTTGTTTTGAGCAAACTGTTCTGGTATGGATTCCTTTGGGCTTCCTTTGGCTTCTGGCCCCTTGGCAGCTTCTCCACATATATAGATCCAGAACCAAGAGATCTTCTACAACCAAACTCTACCTTGCTAAGCAGGTATGGAAACCACACTATTTTCCAACTAATTCCTTGGTACACCATAGAGACATTTTCTTGGTGGTTAAAATGTCTTCTTCCCTGTCTTTAACCAGCTTTCCCAGGTGCTGCTGTCTGAGGTAGAGCCATGTTCTGAGTGTCCCTCTCTTTACCTGCCCTATGCCTCACTGGTCCCTTGCTGTATTTTTTCGTTCAGGTGACTTTGATTTCTATAAAGGAATAATGACTCAGAAATCTTATGGATCGTAGACTTCCTAAATACCAATGATGGATACTCAGTCAGTCAAATACGTAGTTATTGTCTTTTCAGTGTTTGAGAAGCGAACACTGGATTTCCTATAAGTTGTTCTAATAAATCAGGAGACTGTAATTCAGTTGGCACCTACTGTGAGGTGAAAATGTACTATATGACGTGTCCTCTGCACCATTCAGGCAGTCTAACCACCATTGCTCATCTCCCCAAACTTGGATCTGAAATAGGGCTTTCATTCTCCCGAAGTTTTCCAGAGGTCTAGATGATCACTCACAGTGCGGGAAAGAATGGTGAGTGCTCACAGTGACTTGCCTGAGTAGAGAAATAATGGAAAGGACAAGGGCTGCAAGAAAGAGCCCAGAAGGGATGAAAGGAGGAAGGAGTTCCTTAGCCGGCTGCAGCAATTAATGCAGAAAGGGTCTTGTGGGAAATGAAAGACCCTCAATTGACGCTATAAAGCTAATTCATAAAATCCACCATCTGCTTCTTTTCACTAGGGTTTTCTCCCACCCCAATCTGTCCTGATCTTTAAACAGGGTTTTAGGAAGGCAAATTGAACATGGCATTCTATGAGCACACAGTCCAATAACCTCAGGTTACCTGCACTCTAAAAAGAGGGAACTTGGCCAAAGGAAGCAGTATTTACACTGACACTCTGAGGTGGAGGCCAGGGCTGGGTTTTGTCAGGCTCTGGATAGGAAAAGAACAGTCTCTGAGAGTCTAAGGCAGGATCACTCTCTACCCTGTTGACCTACGTGCCCAGGGCAGAACCTACTACTCAGCAGGCATTTGTCGAATGTTGATATTAAATGCACTCTAAGGAGTTGAGTCAAGAGTGTGTCAGACCATGAACATTGAACAATGTGCTTCATTACCCTTGGGCATGAGTCAGAGCCTTTGGTTGGAGTCAGTTAAATTAGGGAGATTCTGCCATTTTCTGGAGTGTCCAAGAAAAGCCTGGGTAAATGAGTAAATCAGCATCCCATCCTAATCAGAGCTATTAATTAGCTTTAAAAAAAAAAAAACAGCTTTCTTGAGATATAATTCATGTACCATACAATTCTCTCATTTAAATACAATTCTATTTTTAGTATATTCACAGATATGCGTAACCATCATCATGGTCAACTTTAAAACATTTTTATTCCCTCAAAAAGAAACTATCTCCCTGTTCCCCTTAGGAAACTATCTCCCTGTTCCCCTAATCTTTCTGTCTCTATTCTAAACATTTTATATGAATGGAGTCATATAGTAATATATAGTCTTCTATGATTGGGTTCTTTCATTTAGCATTAGGTTTTCAAGGTTCATCTATGTTGTAGCATATATCAGTACTTCAATTATTTTTATGGATGAATAATATTCCACTCTTTGGATATATCACACTTTTTTTTAACTTTTATAAACACAAAGCTCTATGGAGAAAAAGAAAGGCAATGTATTAGGTTTTCTTTTCTCTGTAGTGAATAATTCATTCACCCTTGCTCATAATTTCAGGAGCTCCATTTATAATTTATACTTCACTTTTTTGTTCTCCATCCTGGGAGTGACAGACACAGATTAGCTTCCTCTTAAAAATTTCAAAATAATTAGTTTCTTCTCTGAAAAAGTTAGAAGTATCATTCCTCGCAAATTAAAACTTCACTTCTTCTATGAGAACCTTCTTCTTAGCTCACTCCTCGACTTGATTTTATTTCTCTGCTTCCTCTTCTACCTGCCTTGAGACCATTGGTTCCTCTCTTGATCTCCTGAACTGTTGTTACTACTGTTCTTGTTTGGTCACTAGTGTAGTGTTTACCTCATCTGAACTAAGTCAATTTGCTCAAGCAAGCTGGTGAGAGACTCTGCAAGTTTATTTGTTTAAATGTGTATCCTTAACTGAAAGGACCTGATGCACAATAGGTAACTGAATAAATTAAATTACAAAATGAATGAATGAATGAATGAATGAGCTCATAGTCAGTCCCAGGGGAACAAAAGAGGAATTTGATTCTGAAGGTTGTGGAAGTGCTGCAGTATAAGCAAGATGTACAGCAAAAAAGAACTTGGTGTTGAGCCAGTGAGATGTGGGAATCATCTTCAAGTATTTGCAGAAGTATGACATAGAAGATTGCCTAGCTTGTTCTGAAAAGTTTCAGGGAGCAAGATCAAGGTAAGTAGGTGGAGGTTGTTCCAGGGAAGTAGACTTTGGCTAAATATACAGAAGAGTTTTTTAATAATAACTGTCTGATAAGAGAATGGATTGCTGGGAGATATGGTCTCTGAAAATATTGAAACTGAAGTTAGATATGTGTCTGCCATGGAAGTGGTGGAAGTGGACACTCTCTGCAATGGGTAGAAGATTCAACCAGAGTGACTTGTCATTCAGAAAGTGCTGAGAAAAGGAGGACTGTACAGAGATGGAGAGATATTAAATATGGCCAAACCACTCTCCTTTCTTTTTTAAATACCAATGAGATTGTATCTCCTTAGGAAGTTGAATTTAGTCAACTCTTAATGACTTGAAGTTCCTCCAATAAATCAGAGATCAAGGGCAAACACTATTAAGGACTTGGTAATCATTAAACAACCACAAGATTCCCTGATCCTAAATAAGAAAACCTTGTGTATGCTCCTGATTACCGAAACAATTCATGGTTGTTATAGAAAGTTTGGAGACTCTAGAGAAATAAGAATAAAATTAAATCCATTGATAATTGTATCGCTCTGATATACTCCTGTTAACATTTACTGTATTTCCTTCCACTCTCTTAAGAAAAAAAAAAAAAAGAAAGTCTCTTTCTCACCTCCCTACCTTCCAGTCCCATTGTCCAGGCCTCCATTTAAAATTATTTTGATGGCTACTTTCATGTCTGCAAATAGTATGTTTAAACCTATATTTCTTGATCAATCAACTTCGAAAAAAAAAATCTATTTCTGCCCTCTCTAAAAGAAGAAATTTAGCTCATGACCCACCTCCCAACTTCCTTTTCCTCTCCTCTTTTTCTCAGCCTTTTAATTTTGTATGGTTATTTTCATTTCTCCAGTTGGTTACCTTTATATCTAAAAATAATCTGCCATCAATTATAGACTCTACATCTTGATGCCTCTTTAAGATGAGAGCATTAGTGCCCCCAAATTTCTTGGATCTGGAGAATATCCTCAAATAAAGTTTTCAGAAAGAGCAATTCTAAATAAACTCTCTAAGTCCTTATTTTCTGAAAATGTTCATCTGAAGATGGAATGCTATGTTCAAAAATCATCTTTTTTTTTAAACTCTGAAGATAACATTATATTTTTCTCCCACATCCTATCCTACCAAATTAGGATTTTTCTCATTCCTTATCCTCTCTAGAAGCTTTTGTCCTCTTTATTCTTGATGTCCTGAAATTTCATGAGAGTCTGTTTACGTGGGTCTTTTTTCATTTAATGGGTTCTACACTTTCAACCTAAGAACTCATGTCTTTCTTATCTCTGAGAAATTTATATATATTACTCCTTTCATTTTTTTCCTCCAATTTTGAAATTTCATCTCCCCAGAACTTCTTGTAGATGAATGTTGGACTCTCTGAATTGACCCTCCTTATCAACTTCTCCTTTTAAAATTTCTTTTTCTCTGTGTTCTGAAAGATGTCCCCGTTATTACTCCCAGTTGTCCTAAAGAGCCTTTATTTTAGCAGTTGTGAGTTTGAGTTCTAAGAATTCTTTTTAATGTCTGAATATACTTTTTCTTTTTAACAGCACCTATTTTCATATTTCTCTTAGGACATGAATTTTAAAATAATTTAAAATTCTCTTCTATGCACTTAATAATTTTTGTTGGTTTCATCCCAGAAGCAATTATTCTGTTTAATTATCTTGGCTGTCTTCTTTGCTAGTGCTGGTTTTCCTCAACTTTCTGATGGCTATTAGTCTTCTCTTTGTTAATATATTAATGAACATATGTGGCTGAAATAGGTCCCTTTTCTACTATATGTCTGCTTCTCCAGCTGGCCTCTTCTTGGTGGGAGGACTGCCTGTGAGCTATGAGTCCTGAGTGACTGTCTGGACTTACCAGCCTCCTCCAGGAGCAGGTACCTGAGCTGTACCTCTCCACCCATACTGTGTGCCAAATGAGCTTACTCTGGATGAAATTACTCCTCTGGGGCACCAAATACCTACACTATCTACTGGGTCTTCTTCAGGGAAAGGATTCAATTTCTTTAGAGAATACTTCTCTTTTAGCCTATTTGGGGGTAATGGTGGCAAATATAGTTTGCTGCCAGCGGATTTGCAATGATGAGTTGTCGGTGGGGGAGAGAAGAAAGTGACTGGCAGAACTATATCAGTTCTGGACACAGAACTTCAATTAAGACTATGATTTCTGTCCTGTTTCCCATTCCGATTCACTTCCAGGGCTGACAACAAAAAAACAGATTTATATCAGTTAAGACTCTCTCACCTCCAAGTCATGTCTGTTGGTTTAAACAATAAAGAATTTATTATCTTACATAACAAGAAGTTCAGAAGTAGTGCAGTTCCAGCATATGTTAGTGTAGCAGCTCAACAACATCAACAGGTAGCTGATTATTTTCATCTTTTTTCTGATAACCTCAGCACAGCAAGCCAGTTATCGAGCTAGCACATAATTACAGGATGGCTGCAGCAGCTCCAGGCATCACACCCTCAGGTCAGTGCCCAGAAGCAGATTAAGAGGCCACATGCCCTCACGTATCACTTAAAAAAAAAATAACTTTATTGTGATATAATCCACATACCATAAAAGCCA